CAGGGGAAGCTGCCAGCATCTCTCCCCCCCCAGTGCCCACCTGCCCTTCTCTGACCCTTGCCAAACTGCCCCCCCAGGTGACGCCTGGGCCTGGGAAGGGTGCCCTCTTCTGACTTGGTTCTCTCCCTTCCCACTCATGGCCCGGATCCCCTCTAGAGACCAGATATTGGGGGGAGAGGGGATCTCGTGCCCCCCTGGCGGGTTCCAAAACCTCAACGTTTGTCACAAAGAGGGCAGGCGGGCGGGCGGGCGTCCTGGCAGCGAGCGAGCCAGGCTCTCTCAGAGGGTAGGTAGCTGCCTGCGGTGGCTCTTTGAGGGGAAAGGCAGCCAGGAGGTGGGGGGGTGGGGGGTCCCCAGGCCTTTCAGAAATCGAGGGGAACAGAGGGGGGAATGGGCCGAGGGAACTTGCACAGGACTGAGGATTCTCTGGGAGAGAATCCCGAAGGTTAATGATATGGGCTGATTATAAAGCCTTCCGGTGCCATTAAAACATCTCCTATGCCTGACCAAAAATGTTCCAGCAGAGGCAGGGCAGAGAGTCTTCCATACTGGGAAAGATAGTAACGCCAGTTAAAATGGAAGGGAAAAAAAGAAAAGAGGAATAGCTTGCGAAACATAAGAGCCTAAGGTCTCCTATGCCTGACCAAAAATGTTCCAGCAGAGGCAGGGCAGAGAGTCTTCCATACTGGGAAAGATAGTAATGCCAGTTAAAATGGAAGGGGGAAAAGAAAAGAGGAATAGCTTGCCAAACATAAGAGCCTAAGAACCTCAGGAGAAGAGCCCTGTGCTGGATCAGGCCGAGGGCCCCTCTAGTCCAGCAGCTCCCTGTCTCTCATGGTGGCCCCACCAGATGCCTCTGGGAGCCCAGGAGAGACCACGAGATCCCGGTCTCCCGATTCCCTCCCTTCCCCTGCCTCTGGCATTTTGAGGTGCCTTCTTTCAAAGCCTGGAGATTATAGTACATCCCCATCATGGCTTGTCACCTGCGATGGACATTTCCTCCAGGAATCTGTCCAATCCCCTTTGAAAGGCATCTAGATGCCAGAGGCCATCCCCACATCCTGTGGCCAGGAGTTCCACAGACTAACCACATAATCCAAAGAAGCCACAGCTTTTGAGTTGGCAAGAGATGAGCTGGGCTGTTAAGAAGGACCTTCTCAACAGACCGATCCCTTGCCGTCTAGCATCTTGAGACTGCTTTCAGGTCCACCATCATGGAATCATGGAGTTGGAGGGGGGCCTTTAAGGCCATCAAGCCACACACCCGCCCCCTTGCCAGAGACAGGAATACAGATCCAAGGAGATATTCAGGGAGGGGGGGTTTGTCTGGATTTCTCTTGAAGGCTTCCAGCGTTGGGGTGGAGAGTAAATCAGAATCTTCCTCTGCTTGTCTACGTATTTGGAATCGGAGACAAAAAAAAGCAAAGCAGAGATATTAATGCATTGCCAGCGCAAGGACCTCCAAGAGGACTTAGGTTCCCACTAGGAATCCCTGGCCTTTGCATCAACATTTGGGGGCTTGAAGGGGCTGCAATTTGAGCAAAGCTACTTGGTTAGAGTTGATACACCAAAAATATCCTTTTTTAAAAAAGGTAGTATCAACGCAAAAGGAAAATCGGCACCTGAAACCCCAGTAACAGCCAAAATTTCTCCTGGAAGCCCCAGTGCCAGAACCGTGGTAAGGGCTCGGATCGGTTCCAGACTGATTTGAGTTAAAGGCCCGCACGTGGGCAAGCAAGGCAGCTGATCAGGGACATGAAGGGGAAATGGTCCGCATCCCCGACGTGTCTCCTCTGACCGCAGCTCCAGTTATGGCCAGAAGCAAGGGCACCGAGAAGCGCTTTGGCTGCGCACAAAGGGGGTCCACGCCCTTCCCAGAGTCGGTGGCTGTAAGTCACAGTCACAGCCATGGGTCTCAGTCCCCCCCCCCCGTTTTGCTGTCTTCTGTAGTTTGGACCCATACAAATGTCAATAAAATCTTTTAAAACCTGAGAACCAGTTGGGTCAAGATGCTCGTGAATCAGCTTAGCGTGAACTTGCCTCAATTTGTATGGCAAATATTTGTGTACAAACTGGATCGGATGATATTTGCACACACTTAGTGGATATTTCTGTGTATCTCTCCACCCTTCTTCTGTTCGTCTGCTCTGATCAAAGATGCTCATATGCCATATAAACCAGGAACAGTTTGCAAACTGCCTGGAAATAAATTATTGCCTTTCGTTGCTAGGGGGGTTAGGGCAAACCTAGAGGGGACCATCTGCCTTTTCCTGCAGGGCACGGATTCTTCTCATGCAGGCTGTGGCCCTTTTTCAGATGGAAGCCACATTTTATTCCAAGCAGAATAGTTTACAAGCTGATAATGCCTCCTCTCCTCGTCTCTGCTGTTCTTAAGCTTGTAAGAGCAATAAAACAAAATAAATTTAACATCAATGCGCAACCATTGAATTGAATTATGAGTCTTACTTGAAGGGGGCCTGTATGGTGTCACTGTTCCATACAAACTCAGTGTGGGGTTGATAAAAGTTTTGATAAAAGATGATAAAAATTTTGCTGTACTTCAGATGTTCTGTGTCCCCTTTCATTTATGTGCAGGTCCTGGAAGCCTTTGCAGGCCGGCTGATTAGGCTGCGAGTTTTGTCTCAGCGTGAAATCCCTTCACTTACAAAGTATCAGATCATTTTAGCACGAGACCAATTCAGGAAAAACCCTCCTTCACACTGTGTGGTAAATATACTCATCTATTCAGTCTTGCTGCCCAAGTAGAACTTTCTGGAGTGGCAGTTCTCTTGTTCTCTTGCTTCAGCCAAACCAACACATTGACGGAAATCCTGTTGTTGCACACCACACAGAGCTGGTGATGTCATCAGCCTTATGGGGGGCATCACGTGCAGAACAGGATTCAAGCCAGCGCCTGGACGAAAGACTTAAGAAGATTTATTCGGGGGGGAAGTTTGTGTGGATTGCACCCTGATTCATCACACACAATCTGGAGATGAACACTGAAGTCCTGGAACACTTATGCCAGAGAGAACTTTCAGTCTCTAGGGTGCCACCCAAGGCGTTTTTGGTGCACATTTCCATTTAATCATGCTATTTGATGTTTCATATCGGGAGTTTTTCATTGCATTTCTTTCCCCATGAGTCCTTGTAACAACCCCAAAAGAAAGATCAGTGATCTCATCTCCCATTATTATGGGGAAGAAAGGCAGCAGTAGCTGAAAAGTAGAGGCTGCCTGAAAACATCTCTCTTAACCCAAACACTGTGCCAGCCACACCTCACGCTTCTTACAGCTGGTTCTCCAGTTGATTTTCAAGCTTCCAGAAAAGCTGTGTTTTGCCCCCTTTTATTTCTCAGAACTGGTTTAATATACGGTGCAATAGTTCTCTTGCAGTAGACCACCTCTGGATACAGCTGTGGAGCTGCCTGAAGCTGCTTCTTTTTAATATTTAAGTTTTTCACAGGGAGCATTTTAAAATTAGTGGCTCCTTGATACCCCTAAGAGGTGTACTTGGGAGATTGTAACATTCTAGGGGAAAAACTACAGTTAGCTCTCCAGGTTTTGAATCGGCTTTCTTATTCCCAGTTGTGCCTCTTGTAGCGGAACCAAAGTTAAAGCAGGAGAAGACAAAATTTTTTAGGAGAAATAAAAAGTAGTATTTCAAGCACTAGGGGAACTTCCCTATGCATGGTGGCTCATTATGGTGCCTGTAAATTACATTGGTGCCTTGCTTTACGATTGCCCTGCATTACAATGAATCCGCTTAACAACGATCTTTTTGCAATTGTGATCGCAAAACAATGGTCTAAATGGGGGAATTTCGCTTTGCAATGATCGGTTCCCTGCTTTGGGACCCGATTCCCTACTTTGGGAACCGATTCTTCGCAAAATAACATTTTTCTAACAGCTGATTGGTGGTTTCAAAATGGCTGCCGAGTAATTAAAATGGTTCCCTGCTGTGTTTAGGGATGGATTCCTCGCTATACAGGCAGCGAAAATGGCCACTGTATGGATCTTTGCTGGACGGTGAGGTTTTCCCCCCATTGGAACACACTGAATGGGTTTCAGTGCATTTCAGTGGGGTTTTTTTATTTCACTTTACCATGTTTTCGCTTAACTGCAATTTCCCTGGAACGGATTATTGTCGTTAAGCGAGGCACCACTGTACCTGCAGCCTCAGAGGGGTTTTTTTTTTGCTCCCTACCATTCGCAAAGGAGCAGGGAGAGAAAGGCTCTCTTGCCTTCTGGCTCCACTGACAGGCCTCCCTCTCAGCAAATTGTCCTTCTCTGGTAGGAAGAGTAGCTGATGCTCCGTGAGCCTTTAGCTCCATTTTACAGGGGAGCGGGCCACAGTTCCCTGGCAGTAACAGATGCCAATCAAAGGTCCAGGCCCATTTTTTTTTTACATATTCAGGTGAAATGTTTTAGAGTTAAGGAAAGATTTCCCCTGAAAGTCAAAGAGACTCACCTGCTGAGGCTCTCCTCCTCTTCCTCTGGCCCTTCCCTTCCCTTTGGTAGGAACAAGATCATGGTACAGTCCTTTAGTATAAAACTCTTTCTGACTGGCGCTGATGCTTCTTTCCCTAGGGAATGCAACAAGGTGTAATAGAGGGAGATTTTGCTCTTTGCATCAGCCTCTACCACGGTTACGAGCTCCTGCTGCAGATGGGAACGCGCTCCTTATTTCTCTTCTTGTCTGGAATTATGGATGGGTCAAAAGGTAAGAGGTGCCGTTGCATAGGACGTCGCCTCTGTTTTTCCTGTAAATCAGAGGAGGGGGTTTTAAGGTAGGTTTTCAGAAAGGAAAAAACACATTTATAAAGTGCTGGATGTTACATGTCTAACATAAAACTTTAAAAACCACTGGAAAACAGAACCATAGATCAGTTACTTGGTTTCAAATACTTCTGTCTTCAATCCTTACAGCTTTTGACAACCTTGTCCATCATCTTGTTCAACAATATGTATGTATTGTAGAACTTCAGTGACAGCATTTTCTTTTGAAATCTTCATACATGGTTTTTATTTTCCATTGAAGCTTCTGTTTCTTAAGCATAAGAAGAAGAGAGGGACCACCGGAATATACACTGAATAGCATTATCATCAAAATGACTTTAAAAATAGACCAGCTGGGCAGAAAGGCCGAAGAACCAGATAGTAAAATGCCACTTTGCCCGTATTTCCGGTTTTTAGGGTTGAGATGAAAAAGGTACCCCCCCTTCCCTTCGTGACAAGGAACAGAGTTCAAAGGTTGACAGACACAAAGAGAGAGATTCTCTCCCTGCTGAGACAAATGCAGGGGCTCTTCATTCCCGGGGGGGGGAGAGTTCCACTGAGTTGTCAGATAGAAACGCACGGTCCTTGATGTACACACCTTCATCACTCGTGCAAGCCAAGGCTCACAAGAGAGAAGGGGCGGGCTTTCTCTGACCTTTCCACGTGAAGCTTAAAACAGAAGGCTGGATTCGGCAACTTTGAGTTAGGGTGGGCTTTCCAGAAGACGTAGAACTGGGGTTGTTTTTTTTCTGGGAAAAGTCCCAATGCTAAAAACAACGTTATCTGGTTTGTATTTGGTTTATATTTGGTTTGTGTCGGCAGCAGGGGTGGAGGAGGAAAGTCCTGAGCAAGTCTGGTCCAGGCGTTCATTGTGTAGAGGAAGGAGGTTCTATGTATTCGCGAAGGCGAATACATAGAAGGAGGAGGTTCGCGAAGGAGGTTCTCATTCATTATTTCCCACTTTTCCCACCTGGGCAGCTGAGGGTGAGGGTCTGTTGACATTTTTCTCAGAAATTCTTACAGAAATTTGAACCCCATTAATTATATCCCGTATGCGTCTAGGGATAAAGCAATAACCTGAAACAGTGACTTGTCCGGGAGGCAAGTCTGAAGAGGCCACACCGAAGATTTCTAAATCCCTTCTCCAGGTTTCTCAGGCAGGAGATCTGTGGTGTTCCTCGCTGTGGTGTTCCACCTTGTGTGGTTTCTGCCCAGCTCTATTGACCCCCGGATGGGATCTCATGGAGTGTGTAGGTTCCTCGGTCATCCCACAAAGTCCGAGGGGTCGAGAGCCACAAAAGCCTCTGGATTATTTAAAGAAGAGCCCGTCCTGAGTGAACGTTAATGCACACCTTGAAGTTTGATAGCCTCGAGGTGATGAAGACCCATAGGGTACCCTTCTTCAAATAGGCAAATGCTTGACCCCAAAATTTGTTGATTGTTCATTCAAATGCCAGGAAATGAGCTTCCAGGCCTGGTGGACTCTCTCTCTCTTCCAGTCACATCTTAGCTAAGAACACCACAGATCGTCTGTGGCTTTCTTGGAGGACCTTTCACATTTTGTGCGACGATATCCTTGTCTTGCGAAAACCAGGCTTCATTTACATTTTTGTGGCTTTGTTGTTATCTTCATCTGGTGAGACCACTGGCAAATTTTGGAAGGGATTCTAAAACCATAGTCTGATGTCCTGCTTATGTGAGCCCTCTGTCAATCTTTCAGCCTCTTTCAACTTATTTATCATTCCTTCTTTCTGAAGGTATGACCCGTGCCAAAAATGAACTGGCGCGTAACGAGGACTTTGTGAAATTGTACAGCCAGCTTGAAAGCATGTTTTCAGACACAGCTGTGACTTCAGCAAATGGCAATCACCCAAACATAGGTTGGTTTGTTTTTTCTTTAAACTCAAAACGAAATCACTTTACCCACTATGGGAGCTGGTGGGGTGAAGAATATGTACATTAAAATACAGATGGAGATGCCAAGCTTTCTGGTATCAGCGGTGACAATGGAACAGAAGAGAACGGTTCATCTCGGTCTGATACTTTGAGTATGGCAAACCAGTTCCTTTCATTTTGTTTATAAATGTTTTGGACCTTTTGAAAGCTATTTGTAAAGAAACCTAAGTCTCTTAAAGGCCAACGCTGGTGAGCACCTGTATTACCTTACCAGCATCTTTTGTCTTGTTATGATTGTTGCTTTTGTCTCTTTGAACGGAGTATATTACAGAGGTGTCTAGGCAGTACTATATCTAAAACAGACACTGTTACACTTACAGGAACGGGAAACAGGAAGCCGTTCATCTACAGCCACCCAAAGCTAAAGAAATTAGAAGAAGTTGTAACAGAGCACTTCAGATCCTGGAAGGAACATGGAGGTCAATCTTGGTGATAACTAAAAGTATTTATGATTGCGTTGTCTGAGCTTGTTGTGGGATAACCCAGGATTTTGTGGCTTTCTTAATGTCTTCGCTCGGGACTGCAACCATTTTTGAGGAAAGTTCATTGCCTTTAGAGTCACACGACTGCACCAGTCTGTCTTCCACAGAGAAATGATTTTTCCTCATCTCACTTACGCTTATCACCCAACGGATATCATCGGGTTACGGGCTACGGGCGTATGTCTCTTTTTGCTCAAAAAGCTTGCTTCTTATTCGCTGATCTATATATTTGTTGTGCCCGCTAGATCAGAAGATAACTGAAGGCCGACCTGCCGGTACTCGGGTGATGATCTTCTCCTCCTTCCGTGACAGCGTTCAAGAAATCGCCGAAATGCTGAGCCAGCACTACCCAGCTGTGAGGGTCATGACCTTTGTGGGCCACTCGACCGGCAAGAGCACGAAAGGGTTTACCCAGAAGGAGCAGCTGGAGGTGAGGGGGCTCAGATCGCCAAGGTCCCCTTGTGGAAACGCTTGTTGTATCACCACCAAGGAGATTTTTTGTGGTGATCCGGTGACACCCGTTCGGCATTGTATGCCGTTTGAACATACAATGGTTCCAGTCTTCTCCTCATTTAACGTGGAGTAACTTCCATTGATGCTGATTTGACTGGCAAACACATCACTGCCCATCTCTCAGTGACAAACACATACTCTTTGTCCAGCTGCACCGGGGTGGCTGTTGTTGAGTCCTGCCAAGTTGCCATATATAATAATGTGTGTTTCCCACGAGATTCTTGCTCTAAAGCAGTCCCTCCCAACCTTGGGTCACCCAGATATTCTTGGACTACAACTCCCGGAAATCCTGGCCGCCGCAGCTCATGACGAAGGCTTCTGGGAGCTTTAGTCCCAAGAATGTCTAGGGACTCAAGGTTGGGAATCCTTGGTCTAAAGCAGTGGTTCTTAACCTTGGGTAACCCAGGTGTACTTGGACTGCAATTCCCAGAAGCCTTCTCCACCAGCTATGCTGGTTGGGGCTTCTGGGATTTCCAGTCCAAGAACACCTGGGTTACCCGAGGTTAAGAACCACTGGTCTAAAGCAAAGTAACAGCAAGGGGCGCTGCTTGTGTGTTGCCCCATAGCGCTTAAAGCCCCCTCTGAGCAGTTTACAGTTTGAGTGTGCAGGTGACACATTGCGCCTCCCCTACCCAAGTGAGCCTGGATGCTCAGTTTACTGTTGTCAGAAAGATGGAAGGCTAAGTCAACCTTGGGCTGACGACCTGAACCCAACAGGATCGAACGCAGGTCACAAGCAGAGTCTTGGCTGCAGGACTGCAGTTTAACCTCTGCGCCATGGGGGCGCTTGGTCTACATTGGATGGAATGGGCAGCAGAAATCCATAGAAACAGATGCATAGTTTATTTCTGCTTGTACATTTATGTCTTTCTGTAGTTCCTTTGGGTTGCATTTGGCTATTACAGTGCGTGTGGAAACAGCATGCTTGGTTAGTGCGACACAGTGATGATGGTTTGCTTATAAAGCAAATTTAAAACAATGCTGTTCCTTGCCTGCAAATGTGCCGTCTAAAAGACGCACATGTTCTCCGCTAGATGCAACCGTCTTTCTTTTCCCTGCTCCCACAACCTCCCCAAAAGCTGACCTCCAGGTTGCAGGCGCACGGCTCCTTTTGCCAGAGCATGGGTGTGCCTTCTCTGGGATCCTGTGGGCTTTGATCCCAGTGGGGCAAACCAAAAGGATGTCGGCGAACCTCATTCAAAGTCCTTCCCTCCTCCTTTAGGTGGTGAAGCGCTTCCGCGAGGGCGGCTACAACACTTTAGTCTCCACGTGCGTTGGAGAAGAAGGCCTGGATATCGGAGAGGTGGACCTCATTGTCTGCTTTGACGCTCAGAAAAGTCCGATTCGTCTCGTGCAGCGAATGGGACGAACCGGCCGCAAGCGCCAGGGGCGAATCGTGGTCCTTCTCTCCGAGGGACGGGAAGAGCGGGTGAGGTGGGGGAAGGGAAGGGAGCTTGTCCTGTAATCACCCAAACTGCAGGCAAGCGCAGATTTCACAACCGTTATAATTTTTCTAAAGACTCGTTTTCACTTCTAGGAATGGCATCCTGAGTCTTTTAGCTGGAGATTAAGATGGGAGGAACACACACCCAAGAGGGTGAACCCATCGCGAGCTGTAAGGGAGCCAGCTGGGCAGGTTGTGTGGCAGGAGCCAAAAGTCCAGGACCCAGAGGCCGGGCAACCCTAGGTAGCCACTTCCAAGACAACAAGCTTGCTGCTCCTATACGGACCCACTCTCTGGGCAGTATATGATTTAATTATGCAGGATATGCATTGTATCCCCTGCCCACCCAGCAAGCTACATACTCAGTTTACTGACTTTGGAAAGATAGAAGGTTGAGTCCCCCTTGAGCCGGCTCTCTGAGCCCATTGGGACTGAACTGAGGTGGCCAGCAGAGTCTTCACTGCAGTATTGCAGTTTAACCTCTCTGCCCTGAGTCTCCTGGTGCAAGAAGCAGAAATGGGCCTTGCAATAAGTGTAATTTATTGTCAGTACATTTAGAAGAAGGGATCTGGTGGCGTTGTTACAGGCCAAAGGTGAAGAAAGAGACAGAAAGCCAGTGGTTAGCGATGGAGGGAGCCAAGCTGAGAAATAACAGCCGTCTGGACGCCACCCCTGCAGCACGCGGGTGCGGATAAACCTCTGGCCTCTTAGCCGTCTGGACGCCACCCCTGCAGCACGCAGGTGCGGTTGCTGTTAAACCTCTGGCGTTTCCATGTGCTGCAGTAAATCCTTTAGCTGCATCTAACACAGTCGCCACCCCCCTCTTTCCTTTGTTCAGCAGCCTTCCACATAGGCCCTGTTGAATAGAGCGACTACCGGGGAGAGGCCCTCACAGGTAGAGAGGCAGGTGAGGTCAGTGGTGGCGCCAAAGGAAACCGACCTCCAGCTGAATTTGCTCCCATTTGGCAGACCTACAACCAGAGCCAGTCCAACCGGAGGAATCTTCTCAAAGCGCTTTCCGAAAACAAAGGCCTGCAGTTCTACCAGCACAGCCCGCGCATGATTCCGGAAGGCCTGGACCCCCAGATGCACCGGATGCTAATTATGCCTGTGGAAGGCGAGCCCGGCACCTCCGAACCGGCCTCGAAAGAGAGGAGAGGCCATACCCGCCTGCTCAAGGGGATCCCCTACGCCTCCGGCCCAGGTGAGAAGAGGGAGGGGGCAAACCCTGCCTTTGGACCCACCGAGATCAAAACTTTATCATTCCCCCCCCCCAAAAAAAAATAATACTAGAATGTTGTGGGGTCAGCAAGTGAGTTTGCTCAGTTTGGCATTCAGGGCTGATAGAAGGGCACACCCCTTTGCACAAGGGATGGTGAACAGAAAGGCATGCCCGTTGCTGCAGGAGTCCGAGAAGGTCCCCTGGCTTTAGGGGAGGAGGGCGGAGGCAACCCAGTGGAAAGGACTGGCCCCAGCAATTTCTCCTAGAGGGTAAGAAGGGAAAGTGCTGAGAGCTGTCTGTGGAGTCACAGCAGAGAAAGCCACCATAAAGGCCAGCGACCTGCGGTCTTAAATGGACCGAAGAGGCACCTTCACGGAGCTGGTCTAGGAGGAGCCGCCATCCGGCAGGTTCCGGTCCCTCTGCTTGCTTTAGGCAAACCTGAAGCCTGCCAGGGCGGCCTGAGATTTAGCGCACAAGAGTCTGGCAGACCGACGGCTGGGGGTGCCAGGATTTCCTGCTTGGGAAGGGGCTGGACTTTGGGAGCCCTGTCAGTGCAGCATCCTTCAGTTCTGGGAGACCGCTCCGTCCCTCCCCATTTCAGTGGGGGCGGAAAAGGAGGGAGGAAAGGATGACAGAACGTCGCCCTTGCTGTCATTGGCCGTCCGCCCCTCTTTTCAGGAGGAACCGGCCTGGACCCTAACGGGGTGCCGTGTGTGGCCACCTTCCTGTCGGACCCCGTGGGGTTCAAAGGGAGTCCCTTGGTGGGCAAGCTGTGGGGTCGGGATCGGTGGGGAAAGGCACCTGCCATTTTTGTGGCTGTTACTGGTTTTCCTTCCCATCCGCCAAACCTTTGCCAGGAGCAAAGCCATCCCGCCCGCCCGAGAGCTGGTGCCTCACCGAGGAAGAATTTGGACGATGGGAGAGATTGTATAGATTGGAAGATGGTGACGGGATACGGAAGGTGGTCTTGCCTCGAGGTCACATTGAAACGTTGGAAGAGGAGGAGGAGGAGGAGGTGGTAAGCTGAGCCCTTCCTGCCTGGTGAAGATCTGGAGCAAGAAGCCTAGAGCCCCTCCAGGCGAAATGCATCTCAGCCAGGAGGGAAATAAGTCAAGCTTCATTAAGGATAGCCAACGGTTGCTTTTGTTCCAAATCTGTAGAACAGAAAGGTGGGGGGGGGGGGGCTGGCACCGCTCCCTGCGCCCCATGCCCACCCAATCTGATGCATGCCCCTGTGTTGACTATGCCCCCAGAGTTCAGAAACAAACCAGGAAAGTGCCCCATGCCCACCCAATCTGATGCATGTCCCTGTGTTGACTATGCCCCCAAGGTTCAGAAGCAAACCAGGAAAGCGGCTTTAAAAGGGTGCAATTAACCAGCAGACAGTTAATTTCCATTATCTGGGTTTTGGGAGCCCCAGGGGGAAGCCCTTCCAGAAGCAGACCCTGCATCTGCCATCGGGCCCCTTGCCTTCAAAGGCATTCAGAGTTAACTTGGCATCGTTAGTGGGGGAAGCTGCAGAACGATTCCAGGACCCATAAGTGACGGGGTTTGGGGACTAAATAGTTCCATGGCCATGAAATGTTGAAAGGGACTGACTTAAAGGTGCTTCTGCGACAGCCAAACCGTTGTCTGGTGTTCTCCCAAGCAAAATTGTGCTAAAGACAAAGATGAATCAAGGTGAAGGATTTCCCTCTTAGACCAGGTCTTGCTCCTGGCCTTTGCTCCTTTCACTAACCCAGCCCACCCGAGGTTCACTGCGTTGTCCAGCCAGCTACGGACGGATCGCTGTGCTGATGCTTCTTTCTTTCTTCCCCTCCCCCCCCCGCCCTGAATGACAGGGGTCTCGAGATCAAGAGACCCACCAGCTGTCCCTGACGGAATGGAGGCTCTGGCAGAACCGCCCTTTTCCTACCTTCCTGGTGGACCACTCGGATCGTTGCCGCCACTTTGTCAGCGTGATGGAACTGATCGAGGAGATGAGGCAGGAAGAGGTGGGTACCTCCTGGGGGAGGCTTCACCGGCTCCGTGTGCCAGAAAAATCATCCTTGTGGCGTCAGTCCCCTTTTTTCAGGGCCTTCCTGTAAGAGCCGTTTTGCCCTTTCCGCGGAGGACTAACCGCGCAGATGCAGGCCAGATCCTCTCCTAATTTTCCATACGTGGCCTCTGCATAAATGACCTCACAGTGGTGTTGTTGTAGTAAAGAGTAAGCGAGGTGAGGAATGGTGAAGCCGTCCAGGGGCTTCAAAAGGAACTCTGGCCAGTGGTCTCACCCAGATGTGCCCAGATGAGGCACTGTGGAATTTTTCTGCTCTTCCTCGGTGCAGGTGAACTTTTTCCCCCGCTTGTTTCTCTCTCTGTCTCTCTCTCAAGGTGAGAAGTCTCATGACACTTGGAAAATTCTTTGGGAAGAGTTTGGCAGGATATTTCCAGGCACTTCCCGTGATCGTTCTCACCTTTGATGAGAAAGATGACCGCATAACCTTTCACACTTGGCACAAAATTGCAGTAACTCTGAGGCTGGGTTGCCTGGGCTTTGAAAAACCGGAAGGGCTGGGTGGATGATGAGTGTCTTTTCCGTCAGTCCTCCCACCCTGTGCTGGCTGCCTTGGTGGGCTTAGCTTCCAAAAGGGAAAAGGAAATGGTTTATGCCCAGACATTTTCTCCTCCTCCTTCCAAGCAGCTCCTTAGGACATCCAGCGCAATTGCTAACAGATTAGCAATGGAACTCCTCCCAAGCCAGTTTAGAGTTCTGGAAAAGGATGGGCCCGGACGAGATAGCTGGTGGACTCGTGGGTGGGATGCAGGCAGGATTCCCTTCCATGCCAGACGAGTAGAGGAGGTATCCGTCCGATGACCTTTGTGCGCCTTCCCTGGCTTGGCCTTCCTATGAGCTCCAGGGCATCAGGGCATTGCTCCGGAGGAATCCTGGAGACATGCTGGAGGCTGACCCTGGCGTTCATCGGATCTAAACCAACTGCTTGGGTTCAGTGGGTGCCTTTACAGCTCAGCCAGGGGCAGTTTTTATGGGGAAAAAAAAAAAACACCCACTAGATTCACCAGGGGTCCACTTAATCAGACTTCATTCTGAGTGGCCTTGTTCCTTCTGGCGTCCTTTGTGGGAGAAAACCTAAAAAGGCTTACCTCTTAGTCGCTTTTCCTCCCCCTTGTTGGTACTCAGCTCTTTCTGAGAGGAGGATGCGTCACTGCAGTGCCTCCCGATCTCCATCGGAGCGGGTTCCTTGTAGCCCAGAAGGGGTCCATTAGGGAAACCGGTGGCCAGCAGGTGAAACTGCAAAGCCGCCCTTCCTGGCCAGCTCTTTTCTGCTGACTGGAACAGAAACAGCATCATCAGCAGAAAATGCTCGCCTAGTTTTCTCTGTGTGACTTCAGCCACTAGCTGTATGTCTGGTTTGGCTCTCAATTTTTTTCTTCCTACGCCAACCCTTTTGTTGCGGCAAGAGACCTTTGGGTGGTGTGGGCGGCATATAAGTCAAATAAATAAATAAGTTTTTTTTCCTGCAAAAGTTGCACACAGATCTTTAATAACCTAGTAACTTCTCCTCAAACTGATGCAGAATCACACTATTTTGTTGCATTTACCTTATTTTGTTGTTAAGTGGCTTCTGACTTGAGTCAAAGAGGATGAACGGGTGACCCCTGAAAGGTTGTGCCCTTAACTGCCCTGCTCAATCCCTTTGCAAATTCAAGGCTGTTGCTTCTTTTGTTGAGTGATGAGCCTCTTCTTATATTTCCCATGTCACTTCCCTCTTTTCTTTTCTGTTTAGAACTTATTGTTATAGAAAGCCCCAGTAGCCTGTCCTTCCGCCTTGCATACAGGAGGGAGGCCCTTCAGGTGATCTGAAAAGAAAACAATTTTGTGTCTAATGAGATTTTTGCCCTCCGCTTGTTTGATCGCAAAGTGTGGGAAATGCTCTCTGCTCCAGGAAGGCCATTGCCTTTTGATAGGATAGGACAGGATAGGATAGGATAGGATAGGATAGGATAGGATAGGATAGGATAGGATAGGATAGGATGGAGGTCCTTCTTCCAGTGAGCAGATCATGTCACATTGGCTGACCAACATGATCACAGGCTGAAATTCCACAGCCCAGTGTGTGCATTGACATCAGAGAACTATATTGAACACATTTTGATTTTTCTGCACTGTCTTGCTTCATACTTTGATGCTATTTTTTTAAAAAAAAGAAGTCCTGAATACATGAATGCTGCTAAATCAGCTCCAGTTGTACAGTGGTGCCCCGCATAATGAGCGATTCGTTTAACGAAGAATCCGCATAGCGATTTTTTTTTGCGATCGCAAAAGCGATCGCATAACAATGTTTTAAATAGGAAAACATTGCTTTGCAATGATCGGTAAGCATTTCGCTTACTGATTTTCGCATAATGATGTTTTTTTAAACAGCTGATCGGTGGTTCCATAATGGCCGCCGGGTAAAGAAAATGGCCGCCCGCAGTGTTTTCGCGCCCTTTCCTCGCTTACCGGGCAGCGAAAATGGCGGCTGCATGGAGGATTTTCGCAGAACGGTGAGTTTTTTGCCCATAGGAACGCATTAAACGTGTTTTAATGCATTCCTATGGGGTTTTTTGGCCCGCATAGCGACGAATCCGTATAGCGATGATTTTTTCAGAATGGATTATCGTTGCTATGCGGGGCACCACTGTATTTGGTGTGTGTTTTTTTGAGGGAGGGGCAATATCTGATGATCTGAGCTAGTCAAGAATCTAGAGGTTTTCTTGTGTGTGTGTGTGTGTGTGTGTGTGTGTGTGTGTGTGTGTGAGAGAGAGAGAGAGAGAGAGAGAGAGAGAGAATGAAACACAGATCTGAGAAAAGAAGCTGGTGAGGTCAAGAAGACACCCAGATGATGTGATGGGGGGAAAAAGAGGAAATGAAAAGAGTAGAGGAGATGTTGCTGTCCTGTCTGGTGCAGCTTTCTGCCTAAATTACTTCATGTTCCCTTTCCTCTCTCCCCCCTTTTTTTCCACCCCTCACTCTTTTATCACGATCCAGATTGACCAGGCTTTATTTTGGAAACTTACAGAATAATGAGAGTCAGAAGGGGTTCCCTTAAGGCCATCAAGTCCAACCCATCCTGCTCAAGGCAGGAATCCAAGTCAAAGCAGATCTGAAAGAGGCTAGTTCTAATTTTCTCTTGAATGCTTCCGGTGTTGGAGTGCTTACCACCTCCTCTTGAGGTCACTGGTTCCATTGTCATACCGGTCTAACGGTTAGGAAGATTTTTCCTGATCTTCAACCGAAATCTGGCTTCCTTTAACTTGAGAGCCCACGGTTGTGTGTCTTGCACTCTGGAATGATGGAAAATGGATCCTGCCCCTCCTCTGTAGGACAACCTTTCCAGTCTTTGAAAAGGACTAAATTATGGAGCTGTTGAGGCAGTTCTGCATACACAGAGTAGCTGGGGAGTAGTAGCCAAGTGTCTTTTTCATAATAATTACGATAATGAACAAGGTATTATTATTATTATTATTCCTGTTTTCACTACTCTCCCCAAACCTCCCTAGATGTGTGATTTGGCAAATGGGGAATGTTTGTGAAAAGGAGAGACATTCAGTAATTGATGCCCTGCTGGGTTCTTGGAAAGAGAGAGAGAGAGAGTGGCCTTGTTAATCTTAATTGCCTTCAAAGAGCCAATTTTGCGAGGCAGTTCTTCCCGTTTTCATTATGCGCTTCCAGAGCTGCTTATTGCCAGCAAGGTCAATCAGGCGGTCTTCTATCGTTCTTCAGGCTCTGAGCAAATATGGCCCTATCCCACGGACGAGAGACAACCGTGTGGGTGTCTCATGACCTACTTTGTCGAGCAGCCAAATTAAAACTGCCTTGTTAACTCCTTGTTGTTGCTTTTAAATTGGTTTTTTTTTTTGTGCTGCTGTGAAAGGTGTGAGACTTAGCCCTGCCGCCTAGCAGAGGTCGGCGGCCTTCCAAACCCAAAGCAAAAGGGGCCATTTACATAACACCCGTGGGTAAGCCTGAAAGGAGGCCAGGCGGGGTCATCCTAGCTGGCGAGAGACTTACAGTAAGCGCCCCTGGAAGAGTGGTTTATGCAATCTCCCCTGTCAGCTCAGTTTTGGGGGAAAAATGCATGTATGCAGGATGCTGCTCACAGTATTTTCAGCCATGGTTGTGAGTTCACCCAGTGCACCATTTTTGTGCAGATTTAACAAGCAGACTCACCCTGTTGCGTTTGGGAAGGCAATGCCAGTATGTTACACACCAGGAAGACCAGAGTCATCTTTCTGGGAGTTCAGCCTTTATGAACAGAGCGAGGCTTCCTAGGGGAATGTGTTTGAATAAGAAGCTGAAGCTTATTCAGCCTTGGGTCCCTTTTGGGGAAGAAAGGCAGGAAAGACATCCTTTAAATAAAGAAATATCACCCCTGCCAAGAAGGAGGTCCAGTGGGTAGATGGCCATCCAGGGAGATGACGTTCATCGTAGACCCGTGGAGTTGGAAGGGGCCTGTGAGGCCATCGGGTCCAAACCCCTGCTCGAGGCAGGAATCCAGATCGAAAGGCTATCTCTACCTGGTGGCACTCTCTACATGTCTATTGAAGGCCTCCAGCGTTGGAGCAATCTCTGGCTTTTCGAATCGGGGGGCTGTCTCTCAGTAAACCGTTTTGATTTTGGAGAACAGGACATTCCATTGTTCACCCAGGCATTTAGAGGTACTTGATGTCTCTTTTATTTTCAAGTGTCTGGTTTTAATTGCACCATTAAAGATTGCTTTGCTTATTGATTTATTTTTGTGTCCAAGATTTTTAAAAGCAACATTTAAATGTTTTAAAATGAAATACCCATAATGGTTCCTGAATATGTGCGGCTCTTAATCTCTTCTTGCTATTTTTGTGTCCAAGATTTTTAAAAGCAATATTTAAATGTTTTAAAATGAAATACCCATCATGGTTCCTGATTATGTGCGGCTCTTAATCTCTTCTTGCACTCTCTATTTATTTATTTCAAATATTTTGTGACACCTTCTTTTTTAAAAAAAAAAGGACCCAAGGGAGCTAATATAATTAAAAAAGACTATTGAAAACACAAGTTATTGGAATATTTAAAAAGAATAAAAGTATTATACTAAAAATGGTAAATAAAGTCAACATTAAAACGTATTCAAAGCAACAAGGCATGACAATCTGTTAAAAAAAACCTTCTCAGACAGCCAGTCCTCGTGAGAAAGTCTGTCTTAAGAGAAAGGTCTATTTGCCTGTTTGTGGAAGGACAGCCAAGAGGAGGCCAAGCTGGCCTCCAGTGGGAGGGAGTTCCAAAGCCTGGGGGCAGCCACAGAGAAGGCCCTCTTCTCCCATGTCCCCATCAGATACAGCTGTGAAGGTGGTGGGCCAAGAGAAAGGGCATCTCCTGATGATTTGAACACTCGAGTAGGCTCATAATGAGAGATGCAGTCCTTGAGACCCAAACCATTCAGGGCTTTCAAGGTTAAAACCAGCACTATGCATCCCCCCCCCCCGAAATGGATTGTCAGCTGCTGTATCGGGGTGGGTATGTGGGTTCTTTTTATATTTGACTCCTTTTGCTTTTGTTTTGTTTTTCAAACAGGACAACTGCCGCTATGAACAAAAACTGCAGCCCTTCTTCCACTGGGAAGACCTGGAGGCCTCAGATCCGCAGAGGAGCAAACGCAGCCCTGAGGGTGGAGCTCCTCAAAGACCTTCCGCGGGCAAAGGGTCTCTGTGGGCTGGAGCCTCCAGAGCGAAAAGCCGCTCGTCGTCCCCAGAGGCCCTCGATGCAGAAACGGTTTCTCTCTTCAAAGCCACCAGCTTCAGATCTGCGAGAAGGCCACCGGCACCGGGCGTAGAAACCACAGGCCAGCAAGATCCCGGCCCTCCTCCAGCCCTCTTCTCGGCGAGCCGATCGCCATCTGTTGAGGGCTCCGGACGCGAAAGGCGGCCAAAAGAAAACGGAGAAGACCCCGAGGACTCTCTCAGCAGAAGCGCGAGGCCGGAAAGGACTCCACTGAGAGAATGTCAGCCCGCCCTCCAACAGAGTGGATGCGGCACGGATCCTGTTTCCCCCAGCTGGGCAGAAGACGGCTCGCTTCAGTCCTCTTCTCTCTTTTACTTCCCAGCCGGCGAGACGGGTTCGCGGGTCCCTGCTGAGACCGAGACGGAGGAGGACCCGGCGTGGAGGGAGCGCCTCCTGACGAGCGTGACAAAGCTTCTGTCACGGTCACCCCCATCCTTGGAGGAAATCCTGCCATTTGAGAAGAGAGAAGGCAAAGGGGAGCCCTTCAGGGCCGTGGGAGAGCGTGCTTTCCGTGTGACGGCAGGCCCCTTGGCTCCAGAAGAGAGCTCGGGCGCTCCGCCTCAGGGCCCCCCAGAATTCACCAGCACCCACGAACGGCGGACCTCCAGCCATCCTTTGGATGCCAAGTCCACACCGGAGGCTTCCCTGAGCAAGATCAGCGATCTCAGCTGGGATGAGCTTTTTGAGGATGACAGCCAAGAACAGATTGGGGTCCACGGAGAAAGTCCGCCAGTGGCCCGTCAGGGTCTCTACTTAGTAGACCCTTTGGGGAAGGAGGATGGCGGAGGGGGTCCAAGAGCTTGGGAAAGGCTTGGGGGAGAGACGAGCGCGGGTGAAAAGGCAGCGCCTTTGTCAGAGAGGGATTGTTTCCCTGAAGCCGACCCTGTGTTCCCAGACGGACAAGGGGGCAGGCCGGCTGTGTCCCCGGACGTGTGTCACCCTGGGGGGAACCCAGAAGAGACTGGTGGAAGTCAGCCTTCAGACGGCCTTGCTGCCGCCAAGCGGGCAACTCCCACCCCTTCATGGACGGTTCAGAGGGATGGGCCTCTGAGGAGGGCAGCGGGTGAAACGAGCCTCCCGCCTCTCCAAGAGCTGTTTGACGCCTCCCAGGATTTGTTTTCGGTCAACTTTGATCTTGGGTTTTCCCTTCAGGAGTCGGAGGAAGAGACGTCGGGGCAAGCAAGCCCCGTGAAAGGCGGAAACCGCCACCGCCACGGAGCCACCCCTCCGCCCGTGAGCCCTGGTCGGTCTCTCCCGATGGGGACAGGAAGGACCTCTCCCTCCACCTCAAGCAGTGAATGTGTGGATGGGACCAAGTTTTCTACTCCTTTGCCCTTGAAAAGCCACCATTCTGGTCCGTCGGCCGCTGGACATGTCATCCCTGGGGTTTCTCCTCTGACACCGGCCGGAGAGAAACGGTGCCGGACCCCGGACTCGGCACAGTCTGTCTTTGCTACACCCACAGGGAGATGGAAGACGCCACGGAGAGGAGGGTCCCGAGGAGGCTCGCTCGGTTCCCTCGCCGGACAGCGGGAGGAGGGCCCCCAGAGGCCGCCCCTCCCCGGCAGAGCCAGCGGCAGCCTACTCAAAGTCCTGGCCAACTCGGCCTTCGAAACAGAGGCTCCAGCATCACACGAGGCTTGGAAGACCGGCCGCAATGGTGGAAATGGCTCTCACGTTCTGCTTTCCGCTGGAGGTAAGTCTTCGTAAGAATAAGCTTGGCTAATAGGCTCGTTTTTGAGGGGAGAAAAATGTTTTTAAACTTTAATTTGCTTGTTTAACGTAAGGCTCAAAGCAGCTCACAGTGTGGGCGTCAGGTGGTCTCTCCCCAAGCCCGTGTTTGCAGTTTCCTCCTGCCAAAAACCCTGGAATATTTCTTTGTTGTGAAGCCAGTTTTCCAGCCTACCTGCTATTTTGTATTTAATCCACCTAATTTGTAATTATTGGCTGAAATTCTGTTCTTTTTAATGCATGCGCATAACATTCACTCACTTCTAATTATTGTCATCTTAGAACATCAGAGCTCAAAGGGACCCTATGAATCATCCGGCCCAGGCTCTGTCAAGGAGGCCCAGTAGAACTTCCAGTCTCTGGCTCCGGAGCCAGAGACTTAAACCCTTGAGCTATCCAGCAGCTCTAGCAGACAAGTGACAGGTTCCCCCTAAAAAGCATGCGTCAAGCCAGCAGACGTATTGCGTGTTACAAAGCAGTAATAACTAGAAGCCCACATGGATTTGTAAAGAACACATCCTGTCAGATTGATCTGATCTCTCTTTTTTGATCAGGTCACCTCCCGGATAGACAGAGGGAATGCTGTAGATGTAGTATATCTTGACTTCAGCAAAGCTTTTGACAAAGTGCCCCGTGAGATCCTGATGAGCAAGCTTACTGGGTGTGGGCTGGATAGATCAAGGGTCAGGTGGATACACACTTGGCTACAGAATCGTATTCCGAGGGTGATGATTAATGGTCCTTCTCTAACTGGGAGGAGGTCTCAAGTGGGGTACCCCAAGGCTCAGTCCTGGGCCTGGTATTCTTCAATATTTTTATTCATGTCGTGGATGAGGGAGTGCAGGGAATGCTTGTCAGATTTGCAGATGATACAAAATTGGGTGGAATAGTTAATATCCTAGAAGACAGAAACAAATTTCAAAATGGTCTTGATAGGATGGAGCATTGGGCCGAAAACAGCAGAATGAAATTGAACAGAGATAAGTGCGAAGTCCTGCACCTCGGAAAAATGAAACCAATTGCACAGTTACAAGATGGGGGGATACCTGGCTCAGCAAAACTACGAGCGAGAAGGAGCTTGGAATTGTGGTAGATCACAAGCTGAATATGAGCCAACAGTGTGATGTGGCTACAAAAAAAGGCAAATGCTATTTTAAACTACATTAACAGAAGTATAGTTTCCAAATCCTGCAAGGCGCTGGCCCCCCTCTATTCAGCACTGGTTAGGCCTCATCTTGAGTCTTGTGTCCCCTTCTGGACACCACGCTTCAAGAAGGATGGTGACAAATTGGAACAAGTTCTGAGGAGGGCAACAAGGATGATGATCAGGGGGCTGGAAACCAAACCTTATGCGGAAAGGCTGAAAGAATTGGGCATGTTTGACCTTGAGAAAAGAAGCCTGAGGGGTGATAGGAGAGCACTTTTCAAATATTTGAAAGGCTGTCCTACGGAAGAGGGTCAGGATCTGTTCTTAATCATCCCTGAGTGCAGGACACGCAACAATGGGCTCCAGTTAAAGGAAGATGGCTTTCAGTTGAGTATCAGGAAAAGCTTTCTACCTGTGACCGAGCGCTTCAACACTGGAAGCATTCTAGAGAAACACAGACCCCCTCCTGGCAGATCTGCTTTGATGTGAGGCCCCTTCCAACTTCATGATTCTATGACTTGCCAGCTGTAAGTGATTGAATGTTATGCCATTTGGCTTCTTTGTGCATAAAAAAGCAACAGGTTTTTTCAACCATTAATTGCTACCTGTTTTGGGTTTTTTTGTTGTTGTTGTTTTTTCTGCAGGGTTTATATAATGTGGAAAGCTCTTTTTTAAAAAAAACTTTAATTGACCTAATTAGGTCAGGAAGACTGAATGCTTCCAATTTTCCAACTGCAGATGAACCCAGAAGAGCCTCCTGAATCAGTCACGATAATTAAGGTGTTTTTTTAAATGAGTTTTAACTGAAAATCATTGCTAAAAACGCACAAGTATAAAGCAAGTGGGTTGAGTATAAAATAGAGGCAGGCTCTTTTCTCAGCAGAAGAGCCGCTGAGAGCCATGCTGCCCTCTTTCGGTAGTGGACTGTGCTACCCTTGTCTTTTCGTTTCCAGTTTGGGTGGGCTTTTTGGGTTGGGGAGAGGCTAGGCATCTGTCTCTCGAGGGGCCGGCCGAACGCTTAAGGTGGCCGCGTGTGCCCACCCTTAACCCTGTCCAGCGAGAGCCCTTTTCAGGCATTCTAGCCAGGAAGCAGAGGGTGCTCCGATGGTGGTCGGCTGAGAGCACCCCGAACCCCGAATCCTGGCACAGCGTCTCCCCAGCCGCCAGTCAGAACATGGCCTGCGATTCCTTGAGGTGCTGATAAAGCAAAGGCTCCTGACTGTGGAAGGGCAGCCAGTCCATTCCACCCAACAGGCTTACAGGAGCCTCTTTGGGGTTTTTTGGCCCTGAATGTGTGAAGCTGGAAGTGTGGGTGCCAGAAAGACCTTGGAGTGGAGGGCGACCAGGAATCTCTCTGGGCGAACAGGCAGTGAGGCTGGGATCACTCCCTAAGGTCAGGGAGGAGGCTCTTTCAGCCACAGTTGGCCGTACACGGTGCCCGGAAACCAGGGTGTGGTGCGGCAAAGAGTTTTGGTTCAACTGTAATGGTGGGAGTGAGCGTCGGTGGGCTTGAGCTTCCAGAGCGGCAGCTCCAGTGCCTGGAGTGTGGGTGCGATCCCCCCCTACTTGCTCTGTCCATAAACAGCCGCCCCGCTCAGCGCTTGCCGGCCAAAGGCTGTGGCTTCTTTTATGCTGTCAGGGACCGTCAGGAGGGCCTGTAGATTTCTTATCTCTGAGTTTGCTGACTTTATGGCTCTGGGCTGCGTGCGCGCGTGGTGACACAGGAGCCGCTTGTGTTGGGGAAACCAAAAGGCCACAGCAGCAGAAGGGAAAGACCCCCAAGGCGAGATGGGCTGACGCCCTAAAGGAAGCCACCGCCTGCAGTTGGCCAGAGGGCTGGGGAGGAGAGGGTGTTCTGAATGCCGCTCATTCATGGGGGTCACCCTAACTCAGAGGAGGCACCGGTCACGCCCCCTGCCCCCCCTCTCTCTGCCCAGCCTCGGTTCAAAGGTCTCTGCTTCCATGTTTGGACGGAGGAACTGGACACGGGGACGGGGGGGGCGCGAAAGCAGTGCGAAGGACAGAGAGCCGTCCTAGCCGGAGGTGCTTCTTACAAGACGCCCAAGGATCCAGGGAGCATCACGGGCACTTTTGTGGGCAGCTGCCTTGTCCAAGTGAAGCTGGCTCAGTGTTTCTCCTTTTCTGGCCCCTCCGTGTCCCTCTCTCTTGACGGATCTGCCCTTTCCAGGGGATCCCCTTGGCTGTCCTCCCCTCAGGCTGGGTTTGCTTTAAATCACAACTTAAATCACAAAATTGTTTTTTTTTAAAATGATTTACATTAAAAAATCAATTTTTTGTATTTAATTTTTTTTTTTAAAAAAATCATCTTTTATACCTGCCAGGAGATCAGAAACCAGAAGGAGAGAATAGATCTCAGGATGTAGAAAAATGTAAATAGTCTTTTTTATTCGGCAAGATTTTTGAATCAAAACTTCACTACCTCCAAATTTTGACTCTTTGGAGCTGATGCTGAACCACTGAGCCGGTGAAGTTTCACTTCAAAGCCATGCTCCTGAAGAAGCCTGTGCGCCGAAATGTGTTGAGCATTTTTAAACTGGAGTAAAAGGCTATTTGGTTCAAAAGCATGTAAATAGGTACCACCTCGGTGGGAAGGTCACAGTGCTCCATGTTTAATCGCGCTGGCCACATGACCATGGAAACAGTCTTCGGAGAAACGTTGGCTCTACAGCTTGGAGACGGGGATGAGCATTGCACCCTAAAGTTGGACCCGACTGGACTAAATGTCAAGGGGAACCTTTACCTAAAAAGATACAGTGGTGCCTCGCATAGCGAGGTTAATCTGTTCCGGATTAACCTTCGCTATGTGAAAACTTC